TTCATATTTCACTCGTATACAAATTTCCACTCTTGCGGGTGAAATTCTATTTGTTGCGTATTATTACATATTATTGAGAAAGGAAGTCAAAATAAACTAGAAGATATTTAATATTCATACCATATATATGTATTTTGTACCCCTAATATATATATCTGTTATTCCCAGAGCCTTTACGCCTTTTTCATCCGTTTGGGTATGGAAATATCTATTATATTCCATATAGGTATCTCTTAAGTATCTCTTAAAGAGTTGCCCACCTTCTACTTTACCCACCCACAGCCCGACTTTTAAAAACTTGAGCAACTGTCAAACATTTTGCGAAACAATTAATTTCACATTTCAACATACATAATTACCAAGGTAAAGAAAAACAGTTATATATACTTTTAGTCAACGTACTGTGAATTATAAGCCAAAAAAGAAGAAGAAGAAGAAAGACAAACCTGGAAGCCAACCTTATACAATAATTAACGCCCGGCAACCGCTATAAAGCGTCATGTGCCCCATTCTTCACTTGGCTGATTTTAATGCTAAAAAAAAAAAAAATAGAGAAGAAGTAAAATAAAAATTCCTATTTATTATTGTTAAATATGTTTCTGTGGAACTGCATGAAATACTTGCCAACAATTAGTCTGCCGCGATCTGTGATTAACAAGCATAACTGTCTGCATTCTCCGCAGATTCAACAATTCTACAATTTGTAGAGTGCGTGCATATACCCAGATTTGGGTTAGCTTCAGATTTGGTTCGTGAATTCTGGTGATTAGTCGCGCAGACCCGCCGCTGTGTAGAAAGAAAGCGGCAAATGCTTCAATTAAGGCTAAAGATTGTAAATAATTGTTGACTTTAAGAGTTGATTTAAATTTCTAGAAGATGATATCTCTGCGCTCGAAGAAAGCAACAGGCCAAATAAAATTCTTGTATATTCATTGTTAACTTTGGAGCTTTCCTAACTCTACGAATTTCTTAAATTTTCTGAGCTTCTCCTATTACGATCTACAATTGGGGCTTTTCACAATTTCCTGAGCTATTAAGGATCAACGATCAACTCAACAAAACTTCGATCTATGCGAAGATGATCTTGCTGTGCAGCAATTGTTAACCTCTTGGAGCACAATTTCTTCACTTCATGAGTATTCAGAGTATATAATTGATCCTTCCACATAACGATCAACTATCAAGCCAAGCATATAATTTGTAAAAATTTCCACGAACAGCTCTCACGCAACCTGCGATCATCTGTCACGATAATTATCTCATTGTTCTTAAGAGTTCAATTAAATTTGTAAAGATAGACTGAGCTGCTGTTGATCTTGAAGTCACAACAATTTCCACAGCTTTCCACATAACGATCAACGAGCAAGAGATCAGCTCTTGCCCAACTTGCGATCATTTGGAGTAAAAATAACTCACGTTCTGCTCATCAATCAATGCTACGGTCCAAACTTATGACTGACTGTCTGATCGAGTCACAGGTCTTGGTCTTTGGCAAGATCCATTAGACGATCGTCACAGTATGCAGCAATACATTTTTCAACATTTTCTGTTTCTGTTTCTGTTTCACTCGAAGTGAAATCATTTTAATTGCAAATCGATTTCAACTAAAGATCGTTTGTAAATCTCCCTCTCGTCTGGGCCGCTGCAAAAACTGGTTTTTGCATTCAGCTCACGATCATCCGTTGTGTGGCAGATCTCTGAAGTAGTCTTTGCTCAGATCTTTTTAGATTCTAAGCCATTCGTTCATCTTCAGCGCGTTGCCGCTGATGCGGAAATGATACTTCTTCTTCTAGTCAAAGTCCGCGGATTTCTTTCAGGGTTTCCATTAACATTTCTTTGGATCTTCTGCACTTGCTGTAATATTTTGCTCGAGTCACGTTTATAGCACCAGTCGCCGGGTAACTTGTTTTGATTTGGGTTAAGCGTACTGAGTTTCAAATTGCAAACCAAGTTATGCCCTTTTGTTTTGTTGCTCTTTTAACTCTCTGCTTTGCCTGCTTTGGCTATAGTTCAACTATGTTTCGTAATTGGATCTACGTAATGCTTCGATTATGCTGTAAGATTATGCTCCGTCATGCTAGACTTGAGGTTCTTGGTTCTTCTTGTTTTGGATTTTGGGATGCATTACTTTAAATCATATATTTTGTACATTAAGCAATTATATATTTTCCTCTCTTTATAAAGAATTGTGAGTAAGAACGATTTTTCAGATAATTAAAAAAAAAACAATTAAATCAAATATCTGCACTTTATATTTTGCTGTAGCATTTAAAAAATTAAAAAATAAAAAACTTTTTAAAGTAACTAACAATAATGATAAATGGATATTTTTATTTTTAGAAATACACATTTTCCACTCGCTATTATTCCTAAAGATTACACATTTTTATAAAAATTTATTTAAATGGCATATATTACAACAAAAAACATTTACTTGTAGTGATCTTCAGTTTAACAACCAAAAATATGCTTTACTTTAGCTATCCTATGGGTAACGAAGCGGCTTTTGTTAACATTTCTCGCTTAGCCAAAAAGTATGCTATGATTTTTATGCGATCACTTAACATTATATCGTATCGAACCCAATACACGAAAATAACAAGAGTTTTCAGTTATGTATATACCTAAAAATTAAAATAAATAAACTATAATTTAATATATATTGTTTGTATCTTACTTTATTTTCTAAGCAATTTGTTTATTGTCCTGAAACAGATTACAAATAAAAAATAAAATAAAATTGCAATAAATATTTACATAAATTTAATTGTTAAATTTTATTTATTTAATTTTTGAATAGCTTACTGAAAAGGTCTTATTCCAGAAATAGTCGCTTATATTTTATACATTCAAAGGTAAAAAATATATCTGTTAAAAATATTATATGTGCTTTAGATATAAATATATAAATATTATATAAATCTATTTTTGGATTCTGAGCATATTTTCGGCAGATTTGTTGTGCTCAATAAAGATAATTTGCAGTTGCCACTGTTAGCCCTGTGATATGGAATTGTTGTAAGCTCTAAAGCAATCTTTTTACCTTGCACAGTTGCTGGACGAGCAGCCGGCCTCCGCTGATAAGAATTTACCTTTGCCGACTCTGCTTATCAGCAGCGACAGTTGACATTCAGAAAAATAAAGTTACAAAATTCTGTGTTTTTTTTTCTACTGTATCTGACTTATATCTTATCAAAGTGTTAGTTTTTTTTTCTGTTCGTTTACGGTTAGTCAGCAAACGCACATTCGGAGTTTATGGGCTTAACATTTTTTACATATTTATTTATGAGCTTCTGTGCTCTATTAGTTGTATATGTTTGTTTGTAAATTGCTCAACTCTACCATATTTGCATGCCCAGGCGCCCATTAAGAACCCATATGTGGCCCGAAACTCCCTTGACACACCTGAGCTCAAGCCACACCTTAGGCTTGTATTCACAGGTAACCGCCATCAAGGCACAGTGGTTTAAGCTCTGATAAACTAGGGCTGAAAATTTTAAATTTGTAAAACTGACAAAATGTTATTTATATATTATATATATCATAACATAATTATATGTAATAATAATTAGCTGAAAAATTATCTAAATTTCAACGAAAGCAAAAAAAGGTTATAATAAAAAATGTTTAATAAATAATTAGTTTAAACAATAATATTAAAATTGATAAGTTAAGTAATGTTTTTGTATACAGAACCATTCAGGTAAATTATAATCATTTTTTTTTTTTATGTGCCCACTGTCTTCATATATTGCTATGACTTTGCACCACTGTGCAGCAGTTGCTTTTAACGTTAATTGCCAACCGTTTGGGCCCTTTACGTAGACCAGCACCTCGTGACCAGGGTGGACTGTTGCCGTTGCCGTTGCATGCATTATTGACATGACATCGGGCGAATCGGTAGATAACAAAGCCTCGAATAACCATGGTGAAACCAGCCCCCAATTCAGCCAATATATAAACTAGCTGCCTTATGTATATACACAACGGCTTGCAATAGTTTTTATTACTGCATATGAGACGATGAACTTTGCTGGGGGAGGGATGTCGACAATTGGGGGCCTTAGCATTAATATGGCGTGTGCGCTGCAGTTGAATGAACCCAATATTTGCTCCATTTTGATTACATTTGATTTCATTTCATCAATAGTCAAATTGGAGTTTCATTGCGAACCAAGTGCACTGAACTTTGCAGCTATTGTTCGTTATATCTATATATACATACATACATATGTACATAGGTAATATCTGGGCCCATTTGTGCCGAAATTCTTTGAGGGGTTCGCAAGGTAAAGTAGTTTTCGGAACAGAATTGCTTAATAGAAGAGAATTCAGCTATCTTAATGATGATGATGATGATGTGACGATTTATGTGAGGCTCATTAATTGGAACTGTGAACTCTGTATATATACGATATATATGGTATAGTATTTACATTCCCGATAAAAGATTTGTCTACAATATATATGATTTATATTATTATTTATTTTTGTTATTTCACCCCCTCAAAATTGGTATTTAGACTTTAGGAAAATTTCCAACAGTATTGTAATTATGGAACATATGGCAAACACGCTTAACTATAATTCAGGTCTGTGAAAAGCAATTAAAAAGCTTCAGATTATTATTTTTTCAGCTTTCCCTTTTGCTTGGCCTATTTGTTTTTGCCTAGAACCTCTTAACCTTGAACTTGTGCAAGGCCTATGGAACCCACATTTAATTAAAAAACATTTCATAACGTGTTCTAATAATGTTCCCAACGTTTATGGGGAATTTGTTTGGTTAACTACCGTTAAGGCAAGGGAAATTGTTTCGGTGTTAGTTTTTGTTTTTGTAATTACTTCAAAGAAAGTGCCTCGAAATAGTTAAACGTTCCTGACCCGCATAGGGCTGACCTTAAAGGGAGAAACGCTTGGGCAAATATCGACTGTAATTTAGAAAAAAAAATTATTATTAATTCTATTGTTTATTCATGTTTATGTTTTACGTATTTTTGCAGGTCGCGCTAATTGAAATAATTACAAAATGGCAACGTGAAGAAACGCGAAACAACAACAAAACACTTAAAAATAAAATATTAAAACAACAACAATCGAGCTTAAAATGGGCACATAAATACGCACAACAATTGTAACCAAAGCTTTAAGCATATACTAAGAGGAAGAAGAAGCAGCGAGTGCAGGAGAACAAGCGTTAAATTGCAGCAACAATTTTCAAACGCAACGACACGAGGAATTTCATTGAGAGCGAGCGAGTCGGCAATATGCGTCTAGCCGGTGGGTCTCTGTCACGCCACTGGGCCATGGGCGCCTGTTTGCTGCTGCTGCTGGTTTGGCCCGCAACGCCGACGCAGGCACGTTTTATTGCTAAAAGAGAAACCGCCCATGTGGGGGATATGGGTGTGGATGCCCATACAGCTGACCCTGACATTGTTAAACCGAGCAGTGAAAGTGCGAGCGGATCGGAACTAACAAAAACAACAACAGCCACAACAACACGTCAAGACAATGTTTTAGCTATGTTAGCAGCGCGATTGCAGCTGAGAACAACAACAACAACAGAAGCACCAATGCAACAGGCGCAGTTAACAACAAACAGCAGCGGCTTAACAGAGCTGATTCCTAAATTAAAAATAGCAGAAGAGCAACGGTTGGTGACAACAGAAGCAACAACAGCAAATGTAAATCTTACTGGAAACTCCAACACTGCACCTATCCTGCCTGTTAATATGGAGACTGTTAAACTAAATGAAGAAGCCAAGCGGGATTCGAACAGCAGCAGCACTGCAGCAGCGCTAATATTAAATGCAGCAGAGCAACCGACAGCCAAACAGCAGGATAACAGCGCTCTTGAAATTTTACAGAATAATACAACAATAGCAGTAAATGCAGCCACTGTTACACAGCCAAATGAACATGAGCTAAACGTTAAAAAAACACAGGCAATTTTACAGCATGTTACAACAGAGAATCCAGAAAATGTGCAATCTATGGTTGGTGATCAGCAGCAGCAGAAAACAGCAACAGAAGTGCCAAAGGCAGAAATTCAGGAGCAGCTTAAACCTCTGGAGGGAGAGCTATCAAAACTGCAGCAAGAGTTGACAACAACGCCCACAACAACAACGACGACAACTTTAAAAACGCACTTTGCGTCCACACAGCGAGCCGAGGATCATGCGCGTGCTATGCAATTTCCCAGCAGCACTGAAAATGTTGCCGCCCTCTCACCCGTTACCCCCATGAAGCTGCGACCGCTGCCGATGACAACGACAACAATAACAACAACGCACACACCACAGCTGCTGGCAGCTCTGCTGCACGCGGGCGTCACTGTTACGCCCAGCGCCTCGCATGAAAATGTTATCGAGGAGGAGCAGCTAGTTCAGCCACAGCACGAAAAACGTGCGAAATTCATCAGTGGTAATTCGACAAATGCGCAACAGCTGACGCTGCCCAACGCGGCGGAGGTGTGGAGCTTAGCTGCCATGAAAATGGTGCCAACAACAACAACAACAACAACCACATCCACCACCACCACCATTGCGCCCACAGAGCTGGCCAATGAAATTGAGCTGCAGCAACAGAATCTCACGGAACAGCATAAGGAAAAAATTCTGTTAGACTGGCAGCAGATAATGTTAATGCAAACGAGCCAGGAGAATCACACAGAGCTCACGATGAGCACCACACTGGATGCCACCGAGGCAGCTACACAGGCGACAACATTACAATTGGATGATATGTTAGATGAAAAGGAAATGGAGACTTCAGCTAGCAGCGCTGTAACAGCCAGCACTGTTAACAGCACAGCAGCAACAGCGGACAGGCGACAGGATGAGTATGCAATTGATGAGATAGCAGTAACAACAAAAGAGAACTCAACAGCGGCTATGAAAGCTAAGCCTGAGTTGGCAAAGGCAGCTGGCACGGGAGATGCAATAGTAACAGCGACTGTAACGGCGCAGCCAGAGTTAACAGCTGCAGCAAACGGCAAAGCAGAGGCAACAATAACAGCCACAAAAACACCGCAGACAGCCTTAACAGAGCTTAATAAGCATATCCCAAAAGCAGGCGAAGCAGATGCTCCAGTTACAGGGACTGCAACTTCACAACCAAACTTAACAGAGCTAGCAAAGCCTAACTCAACAGCCCACGCAGCTGCAGTAGGCGCAACAGGCGAAACAGACATAGCAGCGGCAGCGACTGCGACTGCACAGCCAGCGTTAGCAGCTGCAGAAGCAGATGAGAAAGATACAACAATAACAGCGACTGCAACTGAGCAGCCAGCGTTAACAGAGCTGACAAAGCTCGCCTCCCAAGTAGCAGCAGCTGCTGGCGTTGCAACGAAGTCCGTAATAACAACAACTGCAACAACAAATAACGCAGAGGCAGCTGCAGCAACAACGACATCTGCTGCGCCGCCAACAGCTGTGCCTGAGATGCCAACAACAACAACAACAACAGTAACGCAAACAACAACAACAACAACAACTGCTCTGCCAAGTGCGTTGAACGACACCCGCTATGCGAATGAATTGGCAATGAAAGCGACGGCGCATGAAAATAATGAAAACGGCGATAAAAGCAACAATGTCGACAGCGACGACGTCATCAACGTCTCCGTCTCAGTCGCGGTCTCAACGACCGAGCGCCAGCCAATAACAGTTAGTATGCGAACAGCTGGCGAGGTGAACACAACGAAGACGACGCCAACGTCAACGCCGACGCCGACGACGCGTACATTGCTTGAAGAACAATTAGAAACAACAACAACAACTTTGGCAACGCCAACGCCAACGGAAATTGTCCAAATTAGCAATGAAGTCAATTTAGACACAATTACATTTAAAAATGTGACAAAAGACACAAATAATATATTAATTGAAAAGAGCAACGAGAAAAACAATAACAGCACTGCCAACGTAGTATCGCAGCAAATCAATAACAGCGCTGCCTACGACCCAGCACTGCAAATCAATAATAACAGCACTTCCAGTACAACAACAACAAGCACAGCAACACCCTCAACTCTGTTGACAGATGCTAAGGCTAACAGTGCGCTGAACGAGCATGAAACACTGCTGGAAACTAATAACATAGGCGAATCACCGGCTATATCAACAACAATAACAACAACATCAACTACTGTTAAGCCACTAGCAACAACAGAATCTACAGTAGCAGCTGTTAATGAGGTAGACGTAAGCACAGCAACAGCAATAACAGCTGTTACTGCTGCAACAGCTGCAGCTGCAAAGGACGCATCCGAGCTTTACGATGAGGATGATGATAATGAGGATAAGCGACAGCAGATTGAACATGAAAGTGTCACAGAGCAACAGTTGCTGAGCAAAACGACAATGGCGAACGCGACAACAACAACAACTGAGACTACAACAACCACAGAGGCGACAACAACAACATCAATTAGGCCACCAACAACAACTACCACAACGGAGGAGCCGTTTATCAGTTTGCTAGATGATAGCACCACAACGACAACATCAACAACAACAACAACCGAAACCATAAGAACAACCACAACTACAACAACAGAGCCCATCTACAGCTCCACCAGCGACAATAACATTAATATTAACAACACCAGCAACAGCATGCTGCCCACTGCTAGCAGTGCCAATGTTAATCTACCCACCACCAGCAGCATCCCCATGTTAATGCCAACACAACCGCCCACCGATGTGAATCACATGCAACAGCCGCCCGGCAACACTGGCACCGATGTCAACGTCATAATTGCCATAACGGTTAGCGTAATTGGCGTCGTGGCGCTCATCCTGCTGGTGGCTTTCCTCTATTTAATGCGCAAACGCCAAAAGCAGATGTCCTATAGCCAGCGCTGTCGTCCCGTCAGCCTCGATGCCTACTCTCTGGACAATGTCTCAGTGTTGGGCAGCGTGCGGCGCAAGGGACGCGATTTACGCGCCTCAAAACGTACCTACGGCAACGCCGCCTTCGATGATCCCTCGCTGCGTCACAATCTGCTGAGCGCCACAGAGTTGGGCAAGTTTGTGGAGCGGCGTTCGACCATCTTCGAAGAGTTCCGGGATGTGCCCCAAATCATTGCTAGGGCGGACGAGGTGCCAGCCGGGTGTGAGGACAAGAATCGGTGAGTAAGAGGGGAAAATCGAGGGATTTAAAAACAGAGAATAAAAGGGGGAAGAAAAAGAATAACAGGAGCAAGTGAAAGTGAAAGCGATGAGATGAGGAAGGAAATTCAAAGAAAGGGAGAGAGAAAAAAAATAGGAAAATGTAAATAGAATAAGAAATAAGGCATTCGAATTGAAACTAGAATAGTCATTGAAAAGGAATGAAAAGAATTAAATAATGAATTTCTTCATGTTCAAGGTTACAAGCTTGTGACGTAGTAAATATATATATATTTTATTGGGCCTCAAAAGCCTTTTATTTGTTAGCTTTGTTTTAAAAGCTGAGCGATGAGTGTATAGAAAGAGCAATTGTTCTATACGATTTTTGATTGAATACACCAAAACTTATCTCCTTCTCTTATCTTATCAACATTTTTCCATTATAAAGTACAAGTTCGCAGGTTCAAGTTGCTTTTTAGGGAAAGTTATCTGTATAAATCATTATTACACTAATATAAAACCTCACGTGTAGTACTTATTATAAAGATTACGCATCTTATGTCAAATACATAAATTATACAACTCTTTACTTTTATTTTTATTTTTTCGAATCACTTCCTGATGATCGTGAATTCAATGAATCAAAAAAAATCGCTGGATTGTTGGATTATTGCTCACACCCAACGTAACCTCAAACTTGAAACCGCAGCTACGCAAACGTAATTCCGCTTCCCGAGACGCGAGTGGTGCTCCAGCGCCAGGGCGATGATGACAAAACGGAATACATTAATGCCAATTATGTGCGGGTGAGTGTAACGAATAAATCTCCTTTCCAAACAAAATAGTAATTAATGCTAAATTGAAGATACCCTGTACACAGCTCAGAGCTGCTATCTCTCTCTGAGCCCTCTTTTAAGATCTAAATGCAGCCTTAAGTTTTCCTTTTGGTATTTACGTGGGAGGGTTTAAAAATCTGTTATATTATGGGTATTTCTAGATACTATAATCTCTGAGATATGCTCGAAAACCTTGTCTGAACAGCCTTCCGCCTGTTACATTCATTTATACACAATCAGCATACCTATCTTGCCCTTCTCAAATGTTTCCAGGGTATACAAAACAATCAAAAGCTACCTCTCAACAGCCGAAGCAGCAGCTTTCTCACATGTGTGTGGGCGTCTGTAGTTGTAGGCGTGTATGTATGTGTGTGTGTGTGTCTTAATCTTGCAACGGTACTGCTCAGACTTGCCACTGCGTCTAGCCTTGCATGACGTGTGCATGAAAGGGGGTTGTGTGGGGAGCGGTGTGAGGGGCCATAATTATACGGCCCATGAGATTAGCGAAGTGCCAAGAAAATTGTTTCAACCTCTTTGTTACATTGCCTGTTGTAAGCAAATGAGTTTAGTGCAAAAAAAAGTATAAAAATAATAATAATAAACGTATCAAAAACAAAACAAAAACTTTATGCATAATAATCATAAACAGAGGGAAAGTTTTTCGAGTGCACAACGAACTGTGAATATCCTAAGCACATTATATGTGCAGTAGAAATACCCAGTTCAAATAATACAGTCTTATAAACTGGTTTAATTAATTTATAATAAAATCGAATCTGATCAGTCTTCCTCAGTTAAGCAGTCCCAAGTTAAATATATACAACTGAATCTTTATAGTTTATTTAGACACCAGCCCTTTTCCTTTGTTAATGATATTGAGTCGCTAGAAATCAACGCAGTTTTATTCTTAAGCAAATATTTACATATTCATGGCAAACTTACCAAGCGGATAGTCTTTGTTGCGTTCTTTAATACATATATATGTATTTTATTTTGGTCGCCTGTTTATTGATCATTATTATCAGGATGTCACTAAATTTATTAAATTGATTCGATAACAGCCAAAAATAACCAAAAAAATCACAATTTGTGAGTCACATTTGGAAATTGAGTAGATATAAATATTTTGTGAGGGGTTCGCCTGTTTGCTGTCAAGGCACATGCATAGCTGTTAAGCCCCTTCTGTTAAGGGTATTTCCTAGATCAATTAAGGCAAGCAAATGCGCTACAGCATTGACGCGTGACGCGTGCGTCGCGCTGCGGTGAGCTTTTCAGGCGTTGGCCAAGTGCATTCAGGCGAAAAGGCTGCAAAGAGATAAGCTCGCAGATATAAATAAGCATATGTATTAGTGTGCTTTATATGTATGCAACTAGATTCTCAGCTCTTAAAACGTGTGGCAGCTGGCGATAAGCAAAGCATGCCGCGATTTTTATATACAATGCATATACATCTACAATATGTGTGCATGCATTTGTGTACACAATGGATAATGTAAAACAATTTTTTAAAAGAGCGCGCGTGCAGCTCAATGTCGGCTATTAAATGACGCACGCACACTCACAACATGCACAAAGAGAGCGCGTAATTGAGAGAGGGATCGAGAGAGTCTCGCATGTAATATAAAGCTTTTAATTAACTGTTATGTCATTGATTTATGTTCGTTATGTTAAGTTATGCGTTAACGCAATGTACATATGTATATTATCTGTTATTAATATGCATTAACATAATGTTAAACGTTCGCTATCTCTTTTACACACGCAGGGACCGCGTGATGCGCCCAACTATTACATTGCCTGCCAGGCGCCCCTGGAGAGCACCACCGCCGACTTTTGGCGCATGATCTGGGAGCAGCAGTCGCGCGTCATCGTCCAGGCAACCGACCTCACCGAAAATGGCATCGAGCGCTGTGCTGAGTATCTGCCGCCGTCGGTGACACTCGATAATCACAGCAGCTACGGCGATTATCAGGTCACGCTAAAGCATCGCGAGGTCAAGGATAAATATGCGATCTCAACACTAATGTTGAAGCGTGTCGATGGCGCCGAGTGCCGCGAGCTGACGCACTACTGGTACAAATGGCCCGAGTCGGGCGTGCCGCTCGAGGAGGCGCCCATCATTGCCATGCTGCTCGAGGCGCGCTCCTCTCTCAAATCGTATGCCCTGGAGCAGGCCAATGAGCTGAAGCATGAGAAGTCCTCCACACTCACTCTCAAATCGCTGGAGGGGCAGACGCCAAAAGCAGCGGCAGCACAAGAGGAGGAGTGCAGCACGTCGAGCGCGGCGAGCAATGAGATTAACGGCAATGTGGCCAACAAGACGGCGCGCAGTCAGCAGGGGTGAGTAACAACTACATAGAAAGAAGCATCATCTTCGGTTTGCCGAAGTCAAAATACCCTTGCAGATTTGTAAAACGAACAAAGTTTTCACTACAAAAGCTTAATTTAAAATCTATTATGAATAAAAGATGAGTGGGCATAGAATGAGCTAGACGGTCTTTGTTAAAAAGTTCTCGGATGTCTTTTTCTATGAGTTACATAGCTGGCAAAATCAGAATACCCTCTGCAAGGGTATTGCAAAATATAATTGTCATTTTTGTGACTTTGTTAATGTGACGTTGATGGTTAATCGTTAATTGTTTCCTGTTATTCATTCTTTGTGTGTATCCTCCCTCCTCCCGTCCCTTTTAGACCGCTAACCATTCACTGCTCCCCAGGTACGGGCCGTACCGGCACCATCATTGCCTGTGACATGGCCATACGGAGCCTGGAGACGCCCAAGCGTTCGGTGGATGTGCCCCAGTTGGTTTATTATGTGCGGCGGGGTCGGGCAAGTGCCGTACAGACCAAGGAGCAATACGAATTTATCTATAAGGTTGCCAATATGTATGCGACCAAAATCACAAATCTGTCAAATGATAATTGAGACTGTGCGAAAACAGTTGAGAACATTTTAACAAGTCCTTATATACACGCTGTATGCATATTATAGTCATAGCTCATATATGTATCTATAAATATTTACATATATATTTTAAATGTAACGCTATTTGTATTAGTATATTATGTACCTAGGTATTATCTATGATATACACATGTACGTGCTGGAAAAATTTCATTTGTGTATGTATGTATTCCTTTATTATTGTGATATATTCGTATATTTGTAAATCTCTTGTATAATCTGTTGCATATTTATAATAAGGCTTTGTTTTTTAATTGTGCGCTATTTGTGTTATTTTAAATTAAAGCATCAAAACGTCAATATTATATTCGGCCCAACTTTGTATTTAAAAGAGCTTTAATGTAAATTATTTAATAAATACTTAGCATATATTATGTGTGAAAAATATTAATTTTAATTTGAATATTAATTTTAATCCTGCTCACTGTGAATGGCAAATGAAGCGCTAATAACAAATGCACCATTTAAGGGAAATTCAAATTTTCCGCCAGCTGTGCTGTGAATGACAACAACGCAGCGATGATTATAAAAAATGAAAGCCATGCGGCGATAGTTATCGATAGGCGATATCACTTTTGCTTGCATTTAGCAAAGCTCAAAGTTTGTGGTAAAATGAAGCTGCAGTATTTGTTATTTATTTGCGCGGTTTTTGGCGCCGCCGTTGCCAATGACACGCCCAAAGTGAAAATAGGCGTTAAGAAGCGTGTGGAAAACTGCACGCGAAAAGCCAAAGGCGGTGACTTAATACATGTGCATTATAAGGTAACGGTGCCTTGAAATTGCGGTACACGTCACTTAGCTTACAGTTTATTTAATCTATTTTCGATGCTCTGCTCACAGAGTATTAAATAGGGTATATTGGCTGCAGTTACCTATCTTATCGAGGGCCATATTATCAGTACTATTTAAGCTTATAGCTATATACTACACAATAATGATAACAGTTAAGCGTTAAAAATTGTTTGGACATGCCCACCAAGAGGCGATCAATTCGATACATCCTAAAGAATTAGTTCTAGATTTTGGACATTTGAGGTATATAAGTGATGATATTGTTTATATTCTAGGGTAGTCTACAAGATGGCACCGAATTCGATAGCAGCCACAATCGCGGCAAACCATTCTCGTTCACGCTGGGCGCACGCCAGGTGATCAAGGGCTGGGATCAGGGCCTGCTGGGCATGTGCGAGGGCGAACGCCGCACGCTGACCATACCACCGGAACTGGGCTATGGCGCCAGCGGTGCGGGCGGCGGCAAAATACCGCCCAATGCGGTGCTCGTTTTCGATGTGGAAATGATCAAAATCGAGGCACGCGGCTCCGAGGAGCTGTAGAAGCCGTAAAAGTCAACCGTGAACAATTTGGCGCACATTTGATTAAAAACCAAACATATATTAAAAATTAAATAATTTTAAACATAATTAAGCAATTGATGTATTAGTGCTGCGGTCCTCCACCTCGTCAAAGTGGCGGCGCATCATGCGATGCTTCTCCAGGGCGGTGCCCTGTATGAAACGTTCGCCACAGGTGCCGCAAATAAAGGGACACTCGCCCGTGTGCTGCTGCAGATGAAGTTTCAGATCCTTCGCCTGGCGATAGCTCTTGTCGCAGTAGGTGCACTTGTGCGGCTTCAGGCCACTGTGCGTCAGCATGTGCCGCTTCAGTTTGTCGGATCGCGCAAAATCCTTGCCACACACCGTGCAATGGAACGGCTTCTCGCCGGTGTGCATCCGGCGATGCGACATCATCTCCGAATGGCGCGGAAATGCCATTTCACATAGATCGCATTTGAAGGGCTTCTCGCCCGTATGACGTCGCATATGTGTGACCAATGTGGCCGCCGACTGGGTCTCCCGCCCGCACAGCGAGCACAGAAACTTCTTGATGGCCTCCTTGCGCTTGCGATCCCCATTGATGTGCACATCCCGTATATGATTGTTCAGGCGCGCCTTCATCTGATACGTGCGATCACAGTGTGGACACTGCAGCAGCTGCACATCATCTGCCGGCGCTGCGGTATCAGCTGGCAAAGCTGGCACCCGATCAGTGCTAGCTGCTGCTGCTGCTTCACTAGCGGCTGCAGAGGTCGACTCCGCGCCACCATGTTGCAGTTGCATGTGCTGCTGCAGATTCTCTGGCCACATGAATTTGTAGCTGCATTTGCTGCACGCCAGTTTCTTATCGCTGCTCTGGCACTGCGATTGCTTGTGCTGATCCATGATGCTCTGAAAAATCGAATAAAAGTGTAAGTAATGTAGTCATTCAGCTGAGACCATCTCTCTAGCTGTTCTCTCTAGCATTTAAGTAATGAATTAATATTAAAGTAGTTTATCTTACTAAAAGCTATATGATATGAAGAGTTGGGCAAAGTAAGCTTCAAATTCAGTTAAAAGCTAGTTTTCAGTGCTTTAAGTTTGCGATTAGGATAAAGTATATTAAATCGTTTCAAAAAAGCTCGCTTAAGGTTAATAAGCTTTTAACATAAATTTATATCGCAATAAAATATTCTTAAATTTAAGGAGATTTCTGAACTCGCTTAAATTTAAGAAGCTTTTTGAGCTCGCTTAAATTTAAGGAGCTTTCTGAGCTCACTTTTTGAGATAAAATATTTAAAGCTGTTACTCTGCCGTAGGATTAATTTGATTCCAAGTAATCCAAGCTGTTTAACATCTCACCTTGCAAACGCATTTGAATATGCATAGCTCGCACTCGTGGGGCATCTTGTCAAAGCGATGCATGGCCCGCTGATGCTGGATCATCTCGTACTTGCGCTTGCATTGTACTTTGCACAGCTCGCAGATGTAGACCAGTCGTGTGTGTGGCGAGGCACGCGGCTGCATTTGCATTTGCATCTCATCCTCCGTTTCGGAGTCGCCCAGCTGTAGTTCGTAGCCGGATTCGTTTGTGATGGAGTAGTTGTGGGGCGAGTCGTAGTTCTGGTGCAGCGACAGGGCCAGTTTTAGCTCCAGCTGAATGTGCGCACGCAGATCACATATGCGCTCGAACTGAAGGTTGCAAACTTTGCATGTGATGCGCTTGGCGCCGTTTGGCTTTGAGGTGGCCGCAATGAGCGTTTCGGCCAGCGGTATATCCTGTTCCCGTATGCCATGACGCTTCAGATGCTTCACCAGATAGTCGCGACGATAGAACTTGCGTGTACACCATTGGCACGGTATCAGCTTGGATTCCTCCGCATGCACGCTGAGCATGTGCACCGTCAGCGATTTCTTCTTGTCGAAGACGCGCTTGCAATCGTTGCATTCATACGTTTGATTCTGGAATAGATTTGCTTCAAGTTAGCGTCTTATAAGGATCAAAAGATTTGGTATACCCTTACAGTAATACGATGCTCGCGTATATGCGCCTTTAGATTGTGCCGCCAGCGGAAGCGTAGCGGACATCTGTGGCACAGGAAGCGTTTTTGTGCGTTCTTGCACTGCAGCTCGTTGTGATGTCGCAGCAGCTGGAGGCTAACAAAGCGCGCATCACAGCGTCCGCAGATATGCGGCGCCTCCAACCAGGTGTGCATCAGACGCTGATGATCGAAGATCTGGTATTTGCGTTGAAAGCGCTCGTGGCACAGTTCACAGCTATATTTGGCTTTTGGTATGCTGCGTTGCTGTTTGCCCTGCTCATCGGCATCCAGTTCAGCCTCGCTTTCCGTCTCCGAGCTGTCCAGATCCATTTCATAGCCCGATTGGTTGGTTATTGAATAGAAACGTTGGTAAATTCCCGCGGCCAGATCTTTTTGTATGAGCACCTTTAGTTGTTCCTCGCTGATATGCTTGGCATCCGGATAGAACAGCTCGGCCAGTTCGTGTGGCTGCATATTTGAGCGTGCGCCAAAATTAACAATGTCCGGATGATGCTCCAAATGTCGACGCAAATCCGCTATCTTATCGTATTGACTCTGACAGATCATGCACTCAATTAGCTTGTAGCCATGCGGTTTGCACATGTTCACATCAATATCCTTGGCCTTTTTGCTCTCGCCCAAGTTGGCTGATCGCTTGGAATCGCGATGCACTTTCAGATGCGATTGCAGCGCTTCTCTGTGACTGAACTTGCGTATGCAATAGGAGCAGGAGAACCAGTCGGTTTTTGATTTATGCGCGCGTGTTGCATGCTGCTTGAGATACTCGGGTCGCTTGAAGCTTTTTGGGCAATCCGTGCATTTGAAAATTGAACGCTTCACGGTGCGCTGTTTGTCCGTTTGCTTCCACTTGCGCACGCGTGTTTGCAGAGGCAAATCATCGAGTGATCTAGAATATGGGAAATCCTTTAATATAATGATACAATTTGTTATTCGACGCTTACTCCTCATCTTCAATATCAGCCTTATATTCCTGTTTCTGCACATTGGTTGCTCTGGCAGCGGATGGGTCATCCTCCTGTTTCACTGGTTCGAGCATTGTGAGCGGATCGCCAGACTTTTTATTATCCAGCTCATCGTCAGCATCCACTTCCACATCGTGGGCGTTTTGTACAGTTGTAAACTCCGGTAGTTCCGTGCAGGTTATATCATTTTCAGCCTCCTCCTCCTCTGTCTCCATTTTAATCTGCGTTTATACAATTGATATTAGAGTTTTATTAGAAACATGACACAGATGACTAACCTCCACATGCTGCTCGGCACACAGCTCCATAGGCGCCTCCTGCAGGCAGTCATTGACCGCAGATATGTCGCTCTCCAGGCGGTCCACATGATTCATGAGCAGCTCATTGGCGGCCAACGCCTGTTTCACATAATAATAGGCGCCTATTAGCTTTCTGGCACAATTGCCGCACAGGCATTGCGGCAGCTGTTGCGCCAGCGTTTCATCCAACTAGAACACATATAAATTAATTGTTAATTGGACAGCAGTATTTCAATAACAACTCACATTGATGTGTGTCAATTCTGCTAAAATGTCGGAGAGCTGTTTATCCGGAAATCTTTTGGTGGATGTTGCCAATTTGTATAGTTTATCTGTGTCCCTTGCATCGCAAGTACGACACATGACGGGCAGCTTCATTTTATTTGATTTAATTTACATTTAATACATTTAAAACAGACACAAAGGTAACAAAACACAACATAAAAATTCAATGTCCTGCTAATCTACTAAATACATATGTATGTATGTGCAGTGCAACTGTGATGACAGTAGCTGACACAAAATCCAAACCTATCGATTAATCACGTGAGCGTATCGATAGCAGAAAGTGATGGCAATTTTTGCATGTCATGCATGTAATCATTTTGTGTACGGGACTTTTGTAGTGCAGTGTAGTAGTAATATAATTTCTAAAATAAACTGTATCAAGTGCGAAATGTAAGTAAATAAAATATCTTATTGTTTTATTAAGCAACTGCAACATGTTTATGTCTATGTCCAGCTTCACATGTGAACCCAGATTAAGAAGAAACTTTTGCCTTTTGCGCTTGCATTTATTGCATTTTGGTGTATATTTTAAGTAAATGATATTAATTGTAAACTATTGTTTAGCCGTGATATAACTTTGCTGCTTATACTCTAAATTGAATGTGCCTAAAATGAAGTGGAGTGTTCTTTCATGAAAGTATCATAAAAATTATATTGACAAACAAGAAACCCTGCATAGCACCCGTCCGCCCCCCTCTAGTACTTTTTTATAGTTTTCCTTATCAATGCTAGTCGCTGCTTGTGCGCCTCGGTAACTGCAGCACGTTTATACGGACGCAATTCATCTGTGCCAAAACCGGGTATCCACATATTATATTTTCGCTCAAAGTGCAGCTGCACATCGCGCACCTCAATTTTGTTTGATTTGCGGTGCTTGGCAAAGGCGCTTGTCGATTTGACGGTGTCCTCGACGAAGTCGTCTATGATTTGCAGCAACAGCTCTTCCACATCCTCATCCAGTTGCGTGGTGGTGTCCACCTCACGCACCAGCTCTGTGAGACGCGGCTTCGTTAACATCTTCAAAAAAAAAAGTAAAGGAAGAACTTTAAATAAGTGAAAGAGTTGGCTTTTGAGTATGTTTGTGCTTACAGGTGTATTCTCCGCGCCCGTTGCAGCGGTGTGGCTTGTGCTTTTACCACTAGCCCCTGTACCGCTCCCACCACCACCACCGCCACCGCCACCACCAGCACCGCCAGCGCCTGCTTGAGACGCTGTTGTGCCACCGTTTTGTGTGGATGAATTACTGTTGTTTGTCATGGGGCTGTGTTGTGAGGGCGATGCCATTGGTGTGTCGTGTTGCCCGCTGTTGCTATCAAAAGTGGTAAAAAGATCCGACATTGCTTTTTGGATAGTCTTGCGTTTTACAATATAGACAGGATATAGATGTTTAAATAAACTACTTATGCGAGTTAAAATGTAGAAAAATTTAGCTGTGTGTGCGGGGGGAGGGGGGTAAACAGATAAAACCAAAGCGTTGCAATTGTATCGATGTTGTTGTAGCTGTTGTTGTGTACTGTAATTAGTGTGTTTCAGTGCGTGATTTGTATGAGAGCGTTATTAATATAAATTGAAAAAATATTTGCAAAAATAGTGCATAGTTTTTATTATGCCATAGTTTTCACATTTGTTTTATCATGCAAGGGCTCCTTAAAGTACATTTTTTATGTATGTGCCTTCACAGCCCGCGCATAGGCGTCAAGCAAAACACTTACAGTTCGAATTATAATTAGCGTTTTATTTATTTTAAACAAATCAATTGAAAATTTTATATGAACAACAGAACAACAACCTCATCAGGCTTGCAGTAGTACTGTGAAACAGCCAAGCATCGCTAAATGATAACAAGTGCTGTAAAGTTAGCCGAATAATAATGCTGCCAGACATCGATAGTTCGATAGGTCTGAGGTCTGTTGTTTTGCTTATCTATTAGGCGCGGGCAGAACGTTATGCATGGCGGACTATCTTGATTGTTCGATTTCTTGTTTGTAGGGTCGTATTTTTAATTATATCGTTTGTGTTAAGTTAAGGCGGAACTTTTATGTTTCGCTTGTTTGATTTTAAATCATTTTTAACTCGAGTAGATATGTGTGTAAGATATTTGATTTAAAGTTGCCACTTGCTAATAATCGATAATACATACAATTTATCTTATCGCTTATTGCGAAATCGAAAAAACGTTCATTGTGTTAATGCGCACGAAGTCGTTTGGATTTACGCATTATTTATTAAAAACATATTACGTTATATTGAAGTGAACGCAAAGAAACACTCACAAAAGAAAAATGTCAACGGCCGAGGCAACACCCGTTCTAGAAGTCAAAGAGACTCCCGAAAACACTGAAAGCGCTGAAAGCAAAGATGAGGATTATGTGGACATGACATTTACAAAGGAAGTGCGCCAGGCGACAAAGGATGTGCACAAGCTTACGGATGTCCTGGTTAATGCTAAATTTGCCATTGGTAAATGTTTTACAAATTTTCAATTTGCTTTGTTATTTAACTGTATTCGTGTACCATATGCGCAGCGCTTACGGATGATGAAGTTTGGTACGATGGACTTTTGGTCTTTTACGAATTATATAAATTTTTTGAGGCCAACTTGCCGGAGCGCCTGCTGCCCAAGGAACTGCATCGTGCGGCTGCATTTGAACGTGACTTTGCCTATTTCTATGGTGCCGACTGGGACAAGTCATATGAGCCGCGTCCAGCTGTCAAAGTCTATTTGGCACACTTGGAGCAAGTGAAGGCCAAAAGCGAGGTGCTACTCTTCGCGTTTGCCTTCCAAATGTACATGGCCCTAATGTCTGGCGGACAGCTGTTGCAAAAGAAACGCATGATTGCACGCAAACTATGGATTTTTCCCAAAGACAGCGCCGAGCAGCAGCAAAAGCAAGCCGAAGCGGATGCTGCAGAGGCAACAGCCAAAGCAGCTGCCACAGCTCAGGATGATGGCATCGCAGACAACGATTTGCGTGCTCGACCCATGCCGGAACAGGTGACCATTGCACAAGTGGGCTGTGAGGCAACATACTTTCCCATACGCATACCCGCTCTGAAAGTCAAGCTCCGTCGCATTTTCAATGAGGTTTATGGCCAACTGGATGAAAAAACGCGTGCCGAATATATTGAAGAGAGTCGCAATGTATTTCGCATGAATATTGAACTGTTGCGCACTGTCAAGGGTGTGAATCGTGCCAATCTCAAAAAACTCGCTATTGCCGTTGTCTTTGTAACCAGTATTTATGTTGCTTTCAAGTTGGCTATCAAGTGATTTGTTAGTTACACATTTACAACTTTTATTTTAAATTAGATATTTATATATTATATACGCATGTTCGAACCAAAGTCAATAAATTAAATGTTACTTCCAATAGAATTCTTAGTTAAACTAAATCCATATGGCGATTCAACATTTCTGATATATTTTTCTTTTACCAATTTGTTCTCATATTCCTCGACACACTTTAAAATCACGCACGACTTTAAGAAAAGCTTTTTCACAGCACTTTATTATGGTTTTAAATAGCTCGCGTGTTTTTTTGCAGATCATGCTATCATTATATCTAGCTGGATATGGTCCATTTAGTTCCTTATACCTCAGCGATGCGGCATGCCACTGGGCCAGCTTTTTCAGCGCACATTTGGTGTGGTCCAAGTCCAGACCTTTCATTCGATCTGCCATTGTAAAACGCCTCTAGATCATCCATAAGCAAAAAGTTTTTCTCAATTGACTTATTTAATCTGTAGGTCCTGGGACTGAAGCTGATCGACAGACCCGGCTCCTGGTATAGCTGCTCAAAGGCAGGCACATAATTTGCATATACTTCATGCTCCTTGGGAACCATGTTAAATCCTGAGTTTTCTTCTATCGTAATGTCAGGCTCTACTTTCTGCATATAGGCGTAGTTCTTTGTAGTGTTATCTAAGAATACATAGATCTTGAAATTAGGAATAGGGCTTACTTTATTTAAGACGAACCTCTAAGCTGTACAGGCTTGGTTGTCGAAGAGCCTTCCAAAATCTTCTCGAACTGAGGCTCTTCGTCGCCAACAAGCTTACCAAAATCTTGAAAACTTAACCAATCCCAATCCAAATCATCTTTGGATTTTGCTTCGACATCGCTAAAAAATTGAATACATATTTTTAATAAAGGTGCAATGATTCCAATTGGAGATATGAGCTGTAGTAATCCGATTTTTCTTTTAATATTTTACAACTAAATTAATTAAAAAGACAAAAAGTTTTTCATGCAGATTGGGCTGAGTTTGCAAAAGAAAGACGGATGCATGTTAAACTTGGCAAAATATGCTATGGTTTTAAAAATAGTTTATATACCTCTAAGATCATGTGTTTTTAATACATCTGATAAAGTGAACAGATCCGATAGCTCTCTCAATACTTACCATATCAGACCTTCTTAGGCTCGCCAAGAATTCTTGAACAAAAAAAAAATTGTTCTTTGTTTCCGTTTAAATCATGAAACAAAATCAGTTATTGTTAAAAATATATTTGTAAGCTTTTTATTTTTTTATTTTATTTTATTTGAAAACAAATTGGACTTAAAATAAGTTGTAACAGTAACATTTACAGAAAGAAAATAAAAAAGAAACTTACTCTAAATCCAGGAGTCCTCTGTGATTTAGCCAGGGATAAATCGCCTCAGCATGTTTGCGATATCTGTCGTTATGGAAGAGCTTCTTCTTAAACTGTTTTCCCTCCTCATCGTTGCCCAACATGGCGTCAATGCTCGCATTGGCCGTGGGATCGAGCAGCACAGCCGTCATGACAGTCGCAACCGTGGTTGTGGCCCACAGGGGATTCTTGAGCAGAATAGTGTGCAGCTCCTTGAGGCTGGGTATGTGTCGGGGATACTTTAACAGCTCCAAATTGCGCTGCAGTTCCGTATGATAATAGCGCACAAAGTAATCGAATTTCTCCAGTTTTATATCAAAACTGGGCGAGGACAATAGAAAGTAATACAAATCCAAGGCGGGCGAATTAAACGACGACCGCTGAAAGTCCACAAATAGCGTGTCCACAATATCGCCCTGTGCATCATATTTAAACATCACATTATTTGTCCAGCAATCGCCATGGTTGAGGCAATTAAATTGGGTATCATCATAGATGCCTGCCTTGGTTTCCCAATGGAGCAGGTTTTCCAGGATTTGGCTCTGTAAATGGAATACTTTATAAGCATACACTGAGCAAAAATATGACATTCTAAAGTCTAAATATAATTCATATTGTTTAAATTTAATCAATTAAAAATTAAGAGGGATGGCTTGGATGAAGTAGAATACGATTATTCACAAGAATTTGCATACTTTCAAGAAGTGCCCAAAAGGTTTTGAGATTTTGAGTAATTTGAGGATAAAAAAAGTACCTTAGCTTAGGAAATATCAGACAGAATTTGGACAAGATTCGTACTAAAGTTTTGTTTTTTGTTCTTAGTATACTTCAGTTTTATCTTTATCTTTTGACTCTAGCCCAAAACTTACCACTTTGTCGCCAAAGATCTCGCTGCCCTTAAAGCTTCTCACAGCCTCTGAATTTACAGCCATAAAGTTTTTACGTTCCGAGCTGTCAAAAATAGGGCGTGTGGCCTCATTGTACAGCGACTTGTCCAGGCAATCCGCATAGGGGCCCTTGGTCACATAGAGCTGTGCGGATGCGGCATGCAACAGGGCCAATTTGGCCAGGACATGCTCCGTTTCTTTTATGCTCAGTCCCTGTAGGCGATCCGCATTCTTGTAGCCCGCCGGACGCAGATTCTGCAACAGAATGTGATCCGACTCGGGTGCATTTTGTAGCTTGTAGCTCTTGGGGGCAAAGACAACTGGCTGGCCAGCCTGCTCGTACAGCTGCTCCAGCTGAGTTATGACATTATACATGGCCATCTCCTTCTTGAAGGTGAGCATAAGGTCAAGAATTGCGGCTGATGCACTACTCGCTGGCGGCACTTTAAGCATAAAGGACGCACTTGAACTTTGACCATTTACGGTCTGGTAATCAATATCCACAGAGAGCATAATTGAGGAGTAATTATCACCGGCTTCGGTGGCCTTTTTGACACGAAAATCGAGAATTTCCTTAAAATCGGAATGATCGCTCCGGAGCAAATCCTTGAAGTGATCGCTGTTTACCCAAGAGGGCACATTAGAATCGAGCTCGGCTTTCGCAGGCGTTGCAATTGTCCGAGGAACAGCTGGGGCCTGCACAGCTTGCGGTGGTTCACTGAAATAAATAAATTAAGGTTAGCAATTAACTATGATTATATGGAGCTTCACTTACTAAATCTCCAGGAGACCACGATTGTCCAGCCAGGGCAGGATCTGTTCGATGTAGTGCTTGAAGCGTTTATTCGTGTACATTTGCTTCTTGAAATTAGCCGCCGACTCGTCGGTGCCCAAGAAGTTCTCAAATGTGGCCGTTTCCGTGGGATCCAGCAGCACCACGGGCAGCACCAAATAGCTGGCCATTAATGCCCAGCTGCCATATTTGTACATCTCCATTTGCAGCTCCACCAATTTGGGCAAACGTTCCTTATACTCCAGCAGCTGAAGGTGTTTAATCAGCTGATCGTGATAGTATTTGATAAAATAGTCGAATTCCTTCAGCTTGTGATCTATATGCACAGATGTCATAATAAAGTAGAGCAGATCTGCGGAAGGATGACCGTATCTGGGATTCTGGAAATCCACAAAAAGCATATCAAGCAGCTGGCCACTTGGATCAAATTTAAATAGGAAATTGTTAACCCAACAATCACCATGATTGATGACATTGAATTCGTTGGGATTGGCCTGGCCCAGAGCCATGAACATATCGTGCATTTTAGAGAAATA